TTTAATATAAAAATATTAAAGAAATATTTTTGTTGTGATGGGAACGCCATCTTACAGATTATATAAAATTTTTCTTTCAAAATCGTAACATAGTTAAAAACATAAATGAATGTACTCCAGTTTTAAGCCATAAGTGATTGTAATTGAGAAAAACATGACTTTAGCCCTCTGTATGTGGTTGACAGAACTAAATTTTAACAGACAAAATTAAATAAATATTTTCGATGCAGAACATGATTTCTTTGAAGCTGCTCCAACTACAATATTCAAGTCTTATATTTATTGAAAGTCTAAGGATCTTTATTGATTTATAATTGGTCTAAAAGTATGTAACAAAAAATGATATGATGTAAACCTTCAGTTTTCTCAGATAAAATCTTCTATTAAAAATTTGTGCTAGAAGAAACGAAAATAAATAATTTTTTAATGAAGTTTTTCTATATAGTCTTCAGAAATTGTATTTGGTGGTAGGATCTTGTGTTTGATATAGTGCTACCAAATCGCGGATATAGGAGATGCACTTCCAAGTAATTTTTGTTCCCGACGATCTCCGAGAATTAGTTAGTTTAATTAGAATAAAATTTTAGTATCATCTCTTGAAATTTCAACAAATATTAAGCCATTTTAAAAATTCTATAAAATTCTAAAATTTCAAAATTTTTCTAAATTCAGTTTTTTCTTTTTCAGAATTTCCATGCTCTCGAATTGTAAATATTTTAGTGAAGGAATTTTCGTTAAATTTTTTTCCACCAGAGTGCGTGTACTCATATTGAAATAAAGTAAAATTTTTATGGCATAACAATACCCCCCTTACTTAAGAATCAGGTGATAGATGAGTTAAACAAAAAAAAATAAAAAGCAATATTTTAAATTTTAATATTCTTAAAATTAAGTACATACATACATACATCTTACATAATATTTGTAATGTAAATGTTTTTTTTTATTTGCTTTCAATTTTTTTTTGTCTTTTAATATATTTCAACAGTATCTTAATTTCGCGGAACGTTAAGAATTTAATGACTGTCTAAGTAATACAAAAATGAACATTTAGACCATCTGCTTTAAAAATAATTGTATATATATACATATATGTATATACACTTTTAATAAATAATAAGAAAACAAATTATAAGCGCTTTTACGTCGTCAATTATTTTACATAATTTAGGAGGAGAACACATACTTTTGTACAAATTTACAAAATATAAGAATATATTATAAATATATGTATGTATATGTAATTATAATAAATTATTATAAACAACATTTTATATATACGTATTTATAATTTAAATCCCCACTTTAATAAAGGATTTTTAATATTATAAAGGATAATAATTTAATTTCAAAAATAAGAGGGAGTAAGAAAACAAATACAAAATAATAAAAAATAATCTACTAACAATCATGTTAACATTCAAACCAAATAAATTCCTAAAATTAAACAAAACTATAAAATAAAAAAATATTCATAAATCCTTGTATTTTGTCATAATAAAAAATATAATAAAAAAAAATCTAAGGAAATTATTTTATTTTATGGCATTTACAATATTTCTTACATAATAATTTTGTTGAAATTTTTAAAAACGAAAAAAAAAATATTAAAATTTAATTGTCATTTTTATTATTGGCAATAATAGTAGTTTTATAGTCAGCTGCGTTTCATTTACAATAATATACAAGGATTTCCATGGAATAATTTTTGGAGAAAATTTTTACATTTCCATAATATTTTATAATATTTTGGCTTTCTAATTCTAAAATTAGATACAAATGAGACAAACAGAAATCTTAATATAAAAATTAAAATTATACGAATTTTTATATGGTCTTACAGAATTAAGTTGAAACTTAAAATAAAACTCAATAAAATATATGTGAACTCAAACTCAATTAAAATTTTAATGTAAAATTTTTAAAAAATATTTTCATATTGCATATTTTTAGGGGAATTCGGGAGTAAATATTAAAGTTTGACGAATCTAGTAATATTTTAAAGTTTTTATACAAACAAAAAAACGCAAAGAGTTTTTGAATGCAAATTTAAGTCCTCTGTATATCGTTTAAGATTGTTTTAATCGGTCTAAAATTTATAGTTTGCCATTTCACCATGTAGAAACTGGAGGCCGAATAACGATCCCACATTATTAATTTTTAAAAAATATTCATTAAGTATGCTCCTGGTATGTATAAATAGCAACAACTTTGTATAAGCAGCAACAGTTTGCCGCCCAAATCACCGAATTTGACGCTTATTTGTATTATTTTTTTGGTAGGGAATATTAAAAATCTAGTTCACCTTTTAAAGCTTTTAAAGCTTACATAGTAGTCAACAACATTTTTATACTTACAGTTTATTGCATATATAAGGAACTAATGTAGAATTTGATTTATTAATTCAAATAAAAATATTTACAAAACTTTTAAAAATTAACTACTAAGAGGGCAAAACCCAAACATATCCTATACACTCTGTTCGTAGTCCAAAATTTTCTATAGCAAACACAAGATCCTACCACCAAATACTATTTTTGAAGACTTCATTAAAAAACTTTTTTATTTTCGTTTCTTCTAACACAAATTTTTGAAAAATTTCTTTTTAAAATTATATTTTTCAAAAACAAAAAAACAATTGGCAAAAAAAAATTCTCGTAGCATTTTTCTCTTGTAAATTTCTAATTAAATCTAATTTTAGATTTAAAATCCCCTTGTCAATTATAAAAATTATTAATATATTTACATACATATATAATCATAACATATAAGAAGAAAAATCAATTTTAATTAAATAAGAAAAACAAAAAAAAAAAAAGAGGAAAATTCTAATTTTTTTTTTCTTCAAGTACGAAAAAAAAATTATTTTTATTAAAATTAAAAATACTTTTAAAATTCAACGTAAAAATTAAAATTTTTTTATTAACAAAATAATATAAAGGGTGATTCTGAAAGGTATACAACAATATACACCATTGGTTAGCAAATCTTTTGTTCCGCAGTTGATGCCGAATCTCAAAGGTTTTCGAGATACAAGGATTTTAATAAATTTTCACAAAATTTCTATACTTGTGTCAATTCTTTTTCTTAAAACTTCCTTTCAGAAAAAGAAAGAAGCTTCAAACAAACAGTTTTCGAAAGGGCTAGTAAAGTTCTTAAAATTAACATACTAATTCTTTATGTACTTTCGGAAATACAAACATTCGAATTTAAGAAATAATTCCAATTTTTCCATAATTAATTAAGGATAATTTTCATAATTTTTTTTTTTTTTCCTTTGTTCACTCCTAGAAGGAGCATAGGGCTAGTGCATGATTTCTCATGCACTAGTTTCATAGCGTCATAGGGTTTAACTAGGTAGGTGACTAGCCTGCCGTAGTTTTTATTTATATTAATTATTTGAGGTTATTAATATTTACTATTTATTTTTCTTAGTTTTTTTTTTAATATCGAATATTAGGAATATTTGAAAATTACTTGTATAATATTTTTATTAGTATTGTATATTAAGTTATAATAATATTGAATATAATTTTTATAGTGACCTGACCGGGGTTTGAACCCGAGACCCTTCGGTTAAAGGACCGGTGCCATAACCACTGCACCAATGGTCAGATAATTTTCATAATTAATTAAGGATAATAATAAGTTTGTATAATAATATTATTTTAATTTGTTGCAGTTAAATTGGAAAAAAAATTTAATAACATAAAATTAAAATTTAAAGATCATTAATAATTAATAAAAAAATTAATTTTCTTTTTCATTAATATTAAAAATTTAATTTTATAATAATATTAAATGTAATTATATAAGCAAATATAAAAATTTTTTATATATAATCAAAGTTAATATGAAATTAATCATCATTATTAAAGGATCACTGGAAAATCTTTTTTCTGAATAAAAGAATAAATCCCTTGTATTCTTTTGACTATAATAGAAAATTTAAAATTTTTTTTTTTCTTATTATTTGTTATTGTATCTTTGAATATATACGCGGTATTCATGTATTGAAATTTTCATTTTAAGTTTTGATTACATTTTTATTCTTTATTTTTTTTTTCTACTTTATTCACAATGTGATCTTTCGTTTTTTTTTGCTTTGTTTTGTGTGTGAATCCTTTACACTTGAATAAATTTGAATGGAAATTATAGGGAGATGCTCCACAAAACAATAGATTTTTTTTTTTAAATTTTATTGAATATTATTTTGTGTTTTTAAGGAAAGACCTTCATCATTTTCTTCACACATTTTGCAATAATAATTTTTTATTTAATATTTATTTAATTTTATATATTTTGTAATATTAAAAATTTTATGATTTAAGAAAGAAAAAAAATAATTTTAAAATATTTGATTTTTTGTTAATTTTGCTCTTGTTACAAAAAATTGTTATTCAAATGATTAAGTTTTGTTAAAAAATATTTTTTTTGTTCAAATTATTAAATTATAAGACTATTGTGAATTAAATTTTATTTAAATTATCAACTAATATTTAATAAAAAAAATAAATATTTTCCAAATATAAAAGTAGTTTTTGCAATTTTAAATTTATTTGATTTATTAGCAAATATTTATTAAATTATTTTAATATTAATTAATTTTAATTATTCTATTAGAAAACTTAATTGTTAATTAGAAAATTTATTAATTTATTATAGAAAATCATTGAATATGATTTTAATTTTATTTTAAATTTTCATTTTAATATTTAATTTTAAAATATAAAAATTCAATTTTTTTAATTGTCTCCAGTAATAAAATCGTATATTAAATTTAAAGATCACAAAATTAAAATTATATTTTAAAATTAAATTCAATTTTTAATAAATAAGAAAATTCCGTAATTATTAAATTAAAAACCTGAAAATCACATTTATTTTTAATAGCTATATAAAAGTATTTCTTTGTTCAATACCAAATTATTAAATTTAATATAAAATTAAATTTTCTAAAAATTAACAATAAATTTTTTTAATTTTATTTTTAAAATTACCCAGCAAAAAAAAATTTATGAAGAAATCAAAATTAAAATTATTTTGAATTTTTTATTTTTTAAATCGAAGTTATTGAATTCTTTTTTATTAGGGTTTTTTTTTCTCCCTGTGTATTTAAAATAAACTTATGAAAAAAAAAAAAATATTGCAAAATAAAAAAAATTTTTTTTTTTTATAATTGAAACGTGCTTTTGACTACGTTTCAAATCAAATCTATGGTGAACTTTTTTTATTATTACTTGTTTTTTTTTTTTTTTGTAATTTTTCAATATTTTATTAAATATTTTACTTCTTTTTTATTATTATTATTTAATTCAATTGATATGGGAGATACTCTTAAGTAAAGCCCGCCCTTTTGGGTATAAATATTTTTTTTTTATGATTTTATTGAATTGCGAGAGAAATCGAAAAAAAAAAATTAAATTTTATAGAAAAAACAATTTTTTTTTTTTTTGAAAATCAACTACAGCAGCTGTGTGTATAAACGTGTGTGAATGTGTGCACAAAAATAACAGAAAATAATTTAAAATTTTATTTTATTTTTTTTTTTTTTTGAATAAATTTTAGCAAAAAGTCAAGATTATGGCTCGGCCGACGTAAATCGACTGATTGAAAATTATTATCTCGAGAAGGAATTTCATCCAAAAAGGAAAAAAAAAATTATTTTTTTTTTGTTGTTTTTTTTGTTGTGACGACCGACGATTTTCAATATTATTTTTGTTTTTGCTTTTTCTTTTCATAATTCTTATTTAGTGTTGGTTTGTGTGTGTGTGTATGTGTTACAAAATTTTTGAAGTAAATATAATATTTTCTCTTTCTGATATACAAAAATAACCTTAAATACAATTGTGTTAAGAGAAAATTTTGATTTTTCAAAAAATATCCTTAAAAAAGAAAGGAAAAACAAAAAAAATATTTGTTAGAATGAATTTTTTTTATTAGGTTTAACAAAAAGTAATATCAACAATTTGTTTACTCAAAAAATGAATTCTTCTTTTTGAATAAATAATGAGAAATTTATTAATGTCATTCCCTGGTAGCAAATTTTAATTTGAGATTTTAAGCAATATTTAATTTGAGATGGAAATTGAATTGAGATTTGAGATTTCCAATTAAAAAAATTTTTTTAGATTCTGATATACGGAAAAATGCTTATAAATTAATTACAATAATTTTTAATTTTAATAAAAACTTAAAAATTACTGCTGAAAATATCTGGTTTAAATGAAAAAATTGCAGCTTTATTACTCGTATCTTTTGTTACATCAAACTCTTTAACTCCTATTTTAAACAAAAACTTAAGGCTTAAATTGTAGTCGAGTTTTTTTTTGGAAATGATGTCTTGAAAAATATGTTCAAAAAGATTTACAAGACAAATGGACGTAGTTTCTTTCAAATATTCAAAATTTTAGCGCAGCTAGCGCAAAATTAAACAAAACATGCTTAAAATTTTAATAAATTTGTAAATGTTTTTCACGATCATCTTTTCATTTTTATACTAAGTTATATATTATATATATTTAAACCATTTAACATATTTGTATAACACCAATGATTATCAATAATCAAATTTTATATTTTTTAATAATTGCGAATCTTATATTTCCACTTAGTTAATCAGCTATAAAGAGTCAAATTAATTTCAAAAATATAAAGTTTTACCAAAAACAAAAATTAAACCCATATTTGCTTCCTGGTAATTTTTTCTTATCACAAAAATTATTATTATTATTATAACTGTATTATCATTATAAGAGAAATAAAATCCTGCGCAATCACAAAAATTTCTCTTAAAAATGAAATATCCAATTTTACTTTCTCTGTCTCTCCTTGTCTCTTCTTATCTATTTTTATACAATGTAAATTACAATAACATTATCCTTTTGTAATTTTCCGTTAACAGGTTGTGAAATAAGCATAATGTATGAATAAGGAAAACGCATGCAAATATTTTTTCCTCTCTCCCTCTCTCTCTCTTAGAAATTTTATTTAAGAGAAAATGTTATATAAAAACTATCTATCACTTAATTAAAATGCAATTAATACCTAATAATTATTAAAGCTACTGCTATATTGTATAATGATTTTTACATAATAATAATATATATTGTATATAAATACACACTGTTATATATATATATATGCTATAATATTAATATACATATTTGAAATATATCTTAAATATTGCAAAAATTACATTTCTATTGGGGATTATTTTTTTGTTGTCTATTATAGTAGTGAGATGAGAATTATTTTTGTTTTTGTATTTTAATTACAAAATTAAAATATTTTCTTTTGAATGATTGATGCTCTTTACTCTAAATAGTTAGATGTGTACAGTGTGCCTGTGTATACCAATTTCAAAAAAGAGAAGTAAAATGTAAACAAATTTTCAAAAGTGAACACTTTCATATACCGATACATACATACATGGGAAGCGTATTTACTTTTGAATACAAAATTAATTTATGCAAAATTTTGAATTTTTTATTTTGAAAATAGCTTGTTCTTCTTCAATTCTTTAATATATTTGTATATGTAAATAATGTAAAAGATGTTCTTATCATGTATAAATGATAATGTAAAAGCATAATATAATGAATACAAATATGTATTTAATGTAAAAATTAAACTGCTGCAATTGAAATCTTATTTACAATTTAATGATGTGAATAATTTTATAAAAGAGGGATGTGATGTTCAAAGTTCATGTTGAAAATAATCAGCATAATCATAAGAAACTTTATACATATATGTATATGTATATGACTCTGTCAAAGCACGTATACTTAATATTATGTATTCAACCTAAAATAAAACGAAAAAATTTTAAATAGAAAGGACATGGTTACAAAATGCATGTTCACATATGTATATACGAGTATATTTGTATTTAAGAGAATGACACTTTAAATCTTAAATTTTCAATATCAAATTTAAAAAAAAATAAAAAATTACAAAGTGGTTGCATACCCCATATGAATAAAATTTTTTCTTTCTTTTCCTTTTGCTCATATTACTTTATTGAATTTTAAGTATATATACAATTTATATACAAGTAAAATGAATGTCAATATAATATATTAATTTACAATCACTATACAAGGTGATAATAAAAAAGAAAAACAAAAACAGAGAAAAACAAAAAGCCATCCAACTATTTATTTATCTACTTAAGTATAACGTACATAATGTATACCATATACAAAAATGTAGGTGAATATTTTATACGAAAAATTTTATCTCAAAAAAAAAATAAAAATGAAATTTCTGTTATTGTTGACCTCGACATATTTATTGGAGAAAGATTACACTTTTGTAAAAAAAAAAAATTATCATTGCCACTATAGGCCAGGGATAAGTCTATTTGCTTATATGTATGTATATATGTATAACGAGGAATATTGTACAAAAGAATTGGTTTGTTATAAATTTGAATGTTTGACGAGATCCTTGTTCTATACAATCAGCAAATATTTACAAGAGTTCAGTGAATTATAATATTTTTGTTTTTATATTATATGCTGTTGAAATTTTCCATGAAAATAAAAATACTAATAAAAGAGAGGGAAATACAAAAAAAAATGTCTAAAATAGTGAAAGCTTTTTTTGAATAAAGCTTTTTACGAAAAAAATTAAATTATTTGAAAACATCCTTTTGATTTTTTTACAATATGAAACTTTTGAATATGGTTTTGGTAGTTTTACGATATAAAAATTTTTAAATATCGTTTTGGCTTTTTTACGATATAAAACTTTTGAATATGATTTTTATCGTTTTACGATATAACAATTTTTAAATATCGTTTTGGTTTTTTTTACGATATAAAATTTTTTGAATATCGTTTTGGTTTTTTTACGATATGAAAATTTTTGAATATCGTTTTGGTTTCTGCTTCGAAAATTTTATAAAAAAATACTTTTATAACGTGCAATAAACATATTTTACCTCGGCACAAAATAATGTAGTCAAAGTGTCCGACATTATTAATCTTTCGTTGATTTAGTACCGTTTAATTAAAAAAAACGAGAAGTGGGGCGATAATTGCTCAAAAGTAGCAATAAGGAGAACAAAAAATATAGTTTTGTTATTTGTTTTGAAAGAATTGTGATTTCAAAACAAATTAATTCTTGATTTGTAAGAATTTCTTCTATTTCAATTCTTACGTTCTACAAATTCTGACTACAATTGGAAAACTCATTATGTGTTTAAAATCTTAATATCACAATTAATATCATATACAAATTTAAATATTTTTTTTTTTAAATTACAAAATACAATAAAAATTTTAAATAAAAAATTTTGACTTACCTGCGCATAGTAACGGCAATAAATTAAATAGAATAAAAAATGGTAAAACAGTTTTTGCAAATTTTTGAAAATTTTCAACAACAAATATTGCATTTTTTCTAATACTATTTTTCCAATCCTTTGGTATATTGCATCCTTTTTCATTGAATTCATTATTTTCAATTGTTTTGTTATAATTTGATAATTTCGGTATTCTTTTGGCATGGGAGTATTGTCTTCGTAAATTTTTTTGATTAAAATCATCATTTTGTTTTGTTTGATTTTTATATTGTTGCTGTTGTTTTTGTTGCTTGTTCTGTAATTGTAAATCTGGTTGTTTCTGTTGTCGTTGTTGTTGTTGTAAATTTTGTTTTTCATTTTTTTTATAATATGATTTTTGTATATTTTTGTTGTAATTAATAATATTGTTATTAATTGTAATTTTTTTATTATTTTTATTATTATTGGTTTGAATGTGATGGCAGCAACTGGAACAAATATTATAGCAGCAACAATAACAGGTTGAACAACAAGACACTTTTTGGCATTTATATTGCTTTGAATTAAGCAACAATTTATTAAAATTTCGTTGGTGTTGTTGATCTTCTTGAATTTGTGATAATTGTAGTAATTTTTCATGATTTTGTTGTAATTGTAGTTGTTGTTGTTGTTGAAGTTTCTGTTGTTCGTATTTTTGTTGTAATAATGTTGATATTGATAATGAATTTGATTTTGAAATTTCATTCTTAGTATTATGTAAATTAATATTATTATTAATTGATTGATGATGACATAGAATTGATTTTTTATTGTTATGTTCTGTAAAATTGTTTGTTGCTGTAAGTGTTGATATTGTTTTATCTGCTTTTGTTGTATTAATAATTGTAATTGCTTTTTTTGTTGTTGCTGTTGTTGTTGTTGATGTTTTTGTTGCTGATCCAATTGTATATAATTGATTCGATTTTTTTTCTGATAATGATAATAACATTGATTTTGACGATGACAATAATAACAACAATTTAATGTTGGCAGTTTTAACAGAAGACAATAATTTATATTTTGTTGTATGGCAGGTAAATGGCTTAAATTGCTCATCATAACTAAGAATTTTATCAAATTTGTAACGAATATAAGGATAATAGCATAAGATATCATATTTATTATCATCATTACAATCAATTTTATCATTTTGATTTTCATTATTATTTTTAAAATCTCCCTGTTCATATGAATTAATAATTTGTTGTGTTTTATTATTATTATTGTTGTTGTTGTTATAATTGTAGTTCTTGTTAATAAAAATATTCTTGTTTTCAATGAATCGATTATAAGAGCTCCCTGTAACTGAATTATATTCCATATAATTTGTATAATTTTTTGTTTTAATATCAAATTCATTTTTAAACATTGTATAACATTTATTTTTAGTAAATAGTTTGAATTCAATGTTAACAGATTTTTTTTTATTGAAAAAGGAAGAATAATATTTATCAGATACAGAAGACATATGATTATTGAAAAGAATCCGTTCACTAACATTAGTAATCTCTTTTGAAAATTCCATTTTTCGATCATTTTTTCTTTCTGTTCGTTTATAGGAGGAAATATTTTTGATTGAAAATTTTTTATTACATATAACAAAGCAACTAATTGTATAATCATTATCATTAGCATAAAAAATTTCATCATTACTGTTTGAACAATTCCAAAGTGATAATAGTAGTTTGAATTTATTGTTATTCTTTTTATTGATTTTAATGGGATCATCTGCATTGTATGATGAAAATTTTTCTTTTCTTCTGTTGTTCTTGTTGTTTTTGTCGTTTCTGTTGCTTTGTAATTGATTGGAAAATTTCTTTTGATCGTTGTTGATTGCTTTTTCTTTTCGTAATAAATATTTTCTTTTGTAGTTCCATACTCTTCGATGTTTAATTGCTGTATTAGTTGCGATTTTAATTTGAAATTTTCTTCTAAATTTTCTTTTTTTATTTTCGATGTTTTTCGTAAAAAATGATATTGTTTTCGATTTTCCAATAATAATGGAAATTTTAATATAATTTTGAATTTTTCTATTAATTTTTTTGGATTTTTTAATTTTTTGTTGGCAGAGATTGTAATGATGTTTTGTGATTGATTTTTTTTTATTGCTAAAATATTTTTTTGTAATTTTTTGTTTATTTTTTTCTGCTGTCTCATAAAAATGCAATAGTTGTGCTGAGGCCATGTTGCGCCCTAAAATATACAATGAGAAGTAAATTAAATAGGAATTTGGACAAAGAAAAAAAAATTTTAAATTAGCTAAGCAACAATTAACAACTGGCAAAATCACACAATTCATAAAAATGCCGTAAGAAATACATACAACGTAAGTAATTATATGGCAAAGTTAGACTCAGAAAAGTCTATGAATATCATGAAAATTTTCTTCTTTAATATTTCGCACAATATTTGCAATACGATAAAAAATATCTATAAAATTATTTTAATATTCCAATTGCACAGAGAGAGCTTCGGGTTCTGATCTGAGTCAGACGTGCCAAGCGAGCGCTTAAGTTAAAAAAAAGAAAAAATTTTTTATAATAACAATTAAAGCACTAAGGGATTTAAACTTGTTTAAGAAAATATATTTAAAATTATTTAAGAATTCCTGATCATAAAATCTCAGGGTGTTGATTGATTATTAATAGTAATTAAACGTTAATATTGAGAAATTGGTCTCAAAAACAATAGCCAAGTACACGCATGGCAAAAAAGAAGAAAAAAAAAAAATTAAAATATCTCCTTCTATGATGAACGAAATGGCAGATAGCAACATTGTGAGTATAAAAAACAACAAGATTATAACGGATAATCCAATAGAAACAAATGGAAACGAAAACGAAAGCGAGAAAGAGCACACCATAGATATTGAACTGAGTGAGACAGCAAATAACACTATCGAATGTAAATGGGTTAAAATAATGCCGCGTAAGCAACAATATCAAGAGCAACAAAGTGGAAAGAAAAGGAAAATAGAAGACACAGAAAATTTGAATACAAACACGTTTGCAATTTTAGATAGAGAAAGCGACAATATGGACCACAATATTAGTAAAAGCTATAATGTTCAAAATGCAGAAAAAGGTACTAATAATACTAACCTAGACGATAAGTTCAATAAAGGTAAAGTAAAATTTTGCCCCCCAATTATAATGGCCGAAAGTAATTTCAAAAATGTAATAGATTTTGTTAAAACAAAAATTAAAATTGAAAAAAATAATTTTAAAGTTACTAATAATTTTAGGAAAAATAAAACCAAAATATTTGTAACTGATTCGAATTTACACAGGGATATATTGGAATATTTGCGAGGAAAAAATATTGATTCGTTTTCATATACACCAAAAGATAAAAAGGTAATTAATTTATTATTAAAAGGTATAAATAGTGCTTTTACTGTCACTGATGTTGAAAATGAATTGAAAAATTTGTTTCCACATATAAAATTCTCGAAGATTTGCAATTTCTCAACAATAAATTCTAGAGCCAAGGGTATAAATCTGGGAATTATTTTGGTTCAACTTGAACCGGGCGAAAATATACAACAGCTAATAAAAACTAATTATATTCTGTACCAAAAGGTATATTGGGAGCAATTATTAGTAGACAAACCAGTTCAATGTATGAGATGTCAAGACTTCGGACATGCAGCATCCAACTGCAGTAGAAAATATAGATGCGTTAAATGTACTTTTGAACACGGGCCAAAAGAATGTCCAATAATAAGAAATAAAGATAAACCAGTTTGCACGAACTGTGGAGGTGAACATCCAGCCAATTATCGTGGTTGCGAATATTACAAAGAATATTTGGCCAGGCGTAGATATAGGTTAAAAAGCCAAAAAGAAAAAATAACTAAATCGAAAAAAGTAAGTTACAGTAGCTATATTGACAACAAAACATCTTTCGCTAGCCTATTTCGCAAGGAAAACCAAAATAAAAGGGGTGAAAAAGGCAAAAAGAACAATGAAACGATAAATGAATTTTTAGAAATATCAAATGATTTATTTGGAATGAGTCTTACAAATCTATTACAGGAAATTGGCGAATTTATGACAATTTATAAAAAGTTAAAAACGTTAGAAGAAAAACAATTTTCGTATATTCAATTTATAGTAAAGTTGCAAAATAATAATGATGATTAATAATATATCAACTATAATATTAAATGTTCAATCAATAAGGAATCTAGGTAGAAGGACTTTTCTTCACAGTATATTCGAAGACCTAGAACCAAACTTTGCTTTCATAACTGAAACTAGATTAAAATCGTTTCACAAAGTTGTTATGGATAATTATAAAATGATGAGAAATGACAAAGGTCAGGGTTCGGCAATTTTCTTCCAAAAAAATTTCAAATTGAATCAATTAGACGCAACCAATTTCGAAATGCCTATAACTCTTGCAAGTGGTACTTTAATTGACTCTAATAGCGCTAGAAAAACATTATTATTGGGTACAAAATTAACAATATGGCGAAAAACTATGACTTTTGCATATGTGGCGGGGATCTCAACTCTAGGCACATTAATTTCGGAGATACGGCTTCCAATGCCAATGGTCAAGTTTTGAACACGTGGTTTGAAGACAACATTAGTGAGACAAGCCTAAATGTGATTTCACCAGGATCACCAACATTTCCAAGAAGCTCTTCAATCCTAGATTTGTTTATTATATCTGAAAATTTAATTAATAATCTCACTAACAACATCTTATGTCGAACGTATCCTTCCTTCTCAGATCATCTCACCATAAAAATGGATATATCTTTAAGTAGGTATAATATTGAATTAGCTGAGCCGAGAAAATTCAAGTCCTTTAAAAATACAAATTGGGTAAGATTTAGAAACGAAATAGAAAATTCTCTTACAAATGAACCTAATTTTCCACCTAACAACCGAAACCTAAATAACGAAGAAATAGATTATTTTATAAATAATTTTAATAATGTCATTAAAAATGTTTTAGATAATAACTCTGTGACGATTGAATCAAATATCAGAAAATTTAAGGATTTACCTAATGATGTTAAACATTTAATAGATATTAAAAGGAAATGGCAATATAAATTGAAAGCTATTTATCATAAGTATTTCAATCGACGTTCGAACGAATACAGAAGTTTAGAGTCAAGACTAAATTGTCTAAAGAAACTAATTAGTGAGAAAATATCTCTATATTTTAATACAAGGTTTCATAACAAGCTGAAAAGCATAAAACCAGGCCCAGAAGCGTTTAAAGAAATCAGAAAAATAATAGGAACAAAAGCTGACAAAACTTTTGACGTAGCACAAAATGGTGTCTCTTTAACAACGAACCAACAAAAATTATTTGCTTTCCAGAATTATTATACAAATTTATATGGATTAAAACCAACAGAGTCTAAAGTTGATCAGGAAATATGTGATGTTGTTACTAACTATATCAACTCACAGAGAGGTTGTAATAACGAAATAATTCCAATTACCACCTTTTCCGATACGAGCAATTCATTGCAAAACTCTGGAAAATTTATGAAATTATTGGATATTAAAAATATTTGTAACAATCTAAATAACAAAAAATCTACGGGACCTGACGAAATCAGTAATTTTGTAATTAAAAAATTACCAGATTGTGCGTTTAAGTATCTTTGCGTAATTTTCAATAACTGTATCAACAACGGCTACTTTCCAAATTCGTGGAAAATAGCCAGACTGTTACCAATTCCCAAAAGCAAAGCCAACTGTGAACCTAAGGATTTCCGCCCAATATCCTTGCTTTCTAACATTGGAAAAATTTTGGAAAGATTTATTTATGACAAAATTGAGAACTTCTGTATGTTACATCATATTATTCCAAAGTTTCAGTTCGGATTTCAGGCGAAACACTCGTCTACTGATGCATTACTTAAATTCCACAATGACGTAAATAATAGCTTGAGAAGTAAAAAAAGTAGTGTAGTATTAAAATTAGACACAGAAAAAGCATTCGACTCTGTTTGGACCATGGGATTAAAATATAAGTTAATAAAATTAAATTTTCCTACTGAAATAATAAGAATAGTAAATAGCTTTTTGGAAGATAGATTTCTTTTCGTGAACATTAGTGATGAAAAATCAGATTTGGTCAGAGTCGACAAAGGAGTCCCACAGGGTTCCATAACGGGACCCAAGCTTTTTAATATATACATGCATGATATACCAGCATCGTTTTATGACGGTCGAAGACAGGAAAGATCGAAACTAATCTTATATGCAGACGATACTTTACTATATTCACACGCAGAAAACCCGAAAATCGCCAAAAAATACGTAGAGAAACATGCTGAAAAAATAATTGAATTTAACAAAAAATGGAAGGTAAAAATTAACACTAGTAAATCGGAACTGATTTGCATAAGAAATGCTAGTGGAAAAGGACCACGAAATGCAGTAAAACAAAGTAATAACATAAAATTAAAGTTAGAACAAGAACAACTACTTTGTAAGAAAAATTTTAAATATCTCGGTATTCATTTCAACTTTCTACTTAAATTTAATTTACACGTAAACTACATACTGCAGAAAGCCGCAGGGGCGTATTCATTCCTGAGACCTTTGTTGACTCATAATGGTTTAAACGAAAAAAGTAAAATTTTAATATACAAACAGCTTATTCGTCCAATAATGACTTATGGTTTTCCCATTTGGTTCACATGCTCTCCAACATATGCTGAGAAATTGCAAATTTTTGAAAGGAAAGTCCTGAGAAATTGCACAAATAAGTATTACGAATCTCAAAATCGTAGATATTCCAATGACTTCCTGTATAATGAGGCGAAAATCGTACCACTGTATCAATATATGATAAACAATTCTCTTAAATATATAGAAAGAATAAAAAATCATCCCAATGAAATAGTTAAAAGAATATGTAATGAGGGTAATATAAATTTTGAATATTATCTCTCACCATTATATTTGAGTAATATAGAATCAACTAACCTATTTGAAATTAATACTAACAATTTGCCTAGGTTCTACAATTATTCCGTAGATACTAGAAATAATCATCGAGGCTAATTGGGCCAAGATGGAAACGTAGGTTAGGGTTAGAAGAGTTAAGGTTAGTTTTAAAAATAGTTTTAAGTTTTATCTATACAACAAAAAAAAAAAAAAAAAAAAAATAAATAAATAAAATAAAAAATGAATTTAGCACCGGGTGCAAGTGCGAAAGTAAAAATTAAAAAGATACGTAAAAAAAAAAAGAAAAAAAAAGTAATAGATATACTAAGTCACTTTCAACTTAAAACTTACTATTTACTATTTTTGTAAAAAACAAAACCATCAAACCAAACATTGGACATAGTTTGATAAATCAACCATAATTATGTATATAATCATGTAACACAAATTACAATGTAAAATTATTTTGCAGGGATAATAAAGACTCTTTTTTCAATAATAAAAAAAAAAGACTCTCCAATTGCACAAGAATTTCACCGAATTTGTAACAAAATTAATACAGGAACGAACTCATTTTTTGACTCAATCTCTTCGAAACTCGCTCAAGAAACAATAATGTTGTATGGTATAAACTGCTCATTAATATTAAAAGTTTTTCTAATGTTGAAAATATTCCTAATAACCGAATTTTTCCAAAAACTTTTCCTTTTTTAAATTCTTCAAGTAATTAATTTCCAGAAATTCACCATTCCTTTCAAAAATACAAGAAATATGTCAGTTTTATTGATATAACATAAAGATGGTGTTATCGTAGCAATAAAAATATAAGGCTTGAACTTTGATAATGTATTTTCAAATCTTACACAAATGGTTAGCCCTCTCCAGTTAAAAAATTAAAATTAAAACGTCATTCAATTTATATTTGGAAAAAACATTCCGAAAACTAAATTTGAGTTACAACCCGCATTAGAACATATGCTGACAAAATATTCCTACTCTAAAAGCTTTATTTCCGAATACCAGTTCAACTTTATAACTTAGAGAAACTTTTACAATAAACAAGTTATTTTACTTTCTATCCTTAAAGAAGCTTTTATATTTTGTGTAAAAATATTTATGGAAAAGTTTTGTAGTCCTTGCGTATTATAAAAAAAGAAATAAAGCTTCAAATGTATAACAGTTTTATTTTAATGTCATAATTTAATTATTTCAGTTTATTTAATAATAAAAGGCAACATAAATATTGAACACAATTATATTAGATAATTAGTTCCTGTTTATTATGAGATATTATTAATATTTCAATTGTATTAAATTTAAAAATGTGTGAAATATGAGCAATTCAATTTAAATAAGAGGAACTTCACTTATAATTCTATAATTATTAAAAAATCAAATTGAACATAATATCTACAATGTTCGAAATATTCTGCCGATATTTTCACATCCTAAAAATTTTTATTTAATTTGAAAAAAATCACAATTTCATATCATAAATTTTCGAATTACAATATTTTTATTGTTAAACATAGTTATATATTCTGAAAAATTTGCAAACCAAAAGCAAATGCCATCTATTGGGAATAACATTACCCCAAATGTCGTAAAAATGAAATTTTTGGGAGTAAAAATGATAAACTTCCTGTCAGTTGGATTGTATATACTTTTAAATACCTTCGGGTTTAGCAGAATCTTTTCTTGAACTTTGATCTAATTCTAAGGCGCAAATTCAATTTGAAAGTAAACCAAATCTGTTTCCTTTTTGGATTTCAAAAGGTGCACAGGCTTTTAAAATTGTGCGTGATGAGGCAGTTAAAAAATTATTGCCATTTGGGACAACACATTTGTGCGAACAAGACTTTTCCACTCTAATGAACTTAAAAACGAAGGACAGAAATCAATTAAACGCCGAAGACTGCATTCAAATCGCCCTTATATCAAAAAGTCCCAATTTAGAAACAATTCTATCGAACATGAAACAATATCATTTTCCCAAAATGTGAAAGAAGAATGTTTTCAATCATTCTTTTTTTCTATTTTTTTCTATTCTAATTTTGTTTGTACCTCCATTATTATTATTATAATTTGCTACACTACCCCAAATTGTGAAGACTCAATTGTACCCCAATGGGTTTCAATTTGTTGTTGTTTGTATTACTTATTACATTAATGAAATAAATTTTGAATTATTGTTTTCTTTTTCAAAATTATCATGGGGGGCTATATAATATGAAAGATGCTAAAGAGAGGCGATTTCATTTTTTTTTGCTCTTCGCCATAGAGTAATGTTTAAAAAAGTTCCCCCACCGCTGATTTAACTGAATGCTACCAGGTGTCATTATTCAGAGATAAGCTTTCTTACACCGTTAAATAGTTTTCGTGTGCTTTCGAGGGAATTTTGACATAAATTTTATTTAGAACAAAATGAATCCTCGTCTGAACCAAACGAAAAAAACGGAATAAGAATATGCTGTGAAATCAGATTAAGTAATTGTCAAGTTACTAATCTGAAATTGAAAATAAATTGCACCGACTGAGACAGCAAAATGCGTGATAATGAAATTTATAGCCCCAAATCACGGTTTGATTCCGAAATAAAAGTTAATAATTTTGTTATAAATGGTATCCGCAAAATTTTTTTGTGAATTTTCAACCAAGTAAAATTTAAAACAAAAATTAAGCTCGTTTCCCATATTTGTCCATTTTTGCCCCGTTTTATTGTTCGCTTTTCACTTCTTCTTTGAGTTACAAAGAAGTGAAGATATACTATGACACGAAAATATGAAATATTATGAACGTTCTGTCATTTTCGCCATAAATTTTATACCTATATACATTTGAGTTAAAATGGAATAAGGATACTTTATTGCCACTGTATAAATAAAATTAAATTAACATACACTACTGCAATGTATACAAAAATTTGAAAGTTGAGCTTTTTGTATAACATTTTCAAATACTTTATGTACAATTTATATTTGCATAGATAACACGTATTCAAATGTGTGTGTATGTTAGAAATAAATGTGCACAAAATGAAGAAAAAAAAACAAAAAGAAAAAATTGGTTCCATTTATTATTTTTTGATTTTATTCCATTCATTTAACTTTTGTTCTTCATAAATAAAATCGAAAGTAATGAATAGATACACATAATGGCACGTTTCCTCTTGCGGCTATACAGATGCCCATTTCATTATAGAAAATACTTATTACCTTCCTTTTCCTCTGAATAAAACTTTGTTAGAAACAAAGTGCGAAAAATATTTTTAAATGTTCATTAACATTGAATAATAAAATCTTGTATATAAATTTTTTGCTATCGTAAACCTGGATGGACTGCCCAAGAAAAGATAATTGCTTATCCCGGCAGACGTCTTTTATATTTTTATACGAAAAATAAAATTCAAATTTCCATCTATTTGAACTGCCTATTTCGCGAAAACTTGGTAGGTTTTTTAAATAAGTTAGATATTACTTTTAAACAATGAAAATAAAAGCGTAACAACTACTTCTAGCTATATACCTACTTATTCGGTCAAAATGAGCCTCGAAAAAAATTATTTTAATATTAAATATAGTGTTTGAGTGTGTTTCCAGTTTAAGAGAATAATAACAAATATAATTATGTCAGACGGTAAAACCAACTATTCCAATTCTCTTGTAGGCAGCCCACAATATTTGTAGAGGTAATATTTTAATTTGGTATTATATTAAAATTGGTATAAAAATGAAACTCTACACAACATTTACACAACGCAGAAGGTATTTTGTGCCGCGAGTCTACTATCAAAAGAGTCTACACCCGTGGCACGGAACTGAACCGCAGACGAACTGGCATTGTCTAAAAATCTAATTTTGTAAATAGTTCAATTTTTTTTCTAAACTTTTCAAATTCCTTATTTTCAAGAAGGAATTTGTATATTTTTTTAGTTAAAAAAAAAAATAAGAATTAAAACTTACCATATCTGCAAAGGGGCTATAGGGTAACAACACGTCCTAATCACACGTAAGGTCAACCTGAAACAAAGAAAAAAAGATTTTTAATAAAATTTTGTTAACATTTTTTAAATTAGCTACAAGATAAGAGCATTTCCAAAAGTTAAGGCAAATTGTTTATGTGCCGTTTAAGAACCGAAACCCTTGCATATTTAAATTAAAATTTTTAGATAGGTACTTAACATATACTCATGTTTACGTTGTGTTTGTGAAGAACTTTATGCAACTTTATGCTATTTATGCAAGACTATTTTGTTAACAAACAGAAGTTTCTTAAATTGGGTCGCAAATTTTCAATTGAACATTCTGAACAAACAAATATATGTTTAATAAAATAAAACAATAATAAAAGCAAAATTTGAATTTATAACTGAATTGACATATAAAAAAAAAATAAAAATATAAATTTTGTGATACTTCAATTTTACAATTTAAATTTGCATTTTAAGGGTGTTTATGGGAACACATTTGCAGTTGTTAGACTCCTTTTACAGCCAACTGACAAAATGATGCTTGGGATTACATCAATATTATCCAAAGACAATTTATAATAAAGTTAGGACAAACCAATGGTTTGTATTGTAGCACTTTTCCCTTCAACAAGCGAAAATTCTGCTTCTAAATACAGTCTACGAGTATGTATACCTATCACACTATTAAAATTTTTTTCATTCATATACAAAACTATTTCTAGGATTGCATATATTTAGGATGAACGATTTATGCAGTCTTTGAAATAAAGCAAAAATTAAAATAAGCAGGGGTTAACATAATGCTCGATTTTAAGGGTTACTTGTGTGAGTTAAGAAAAATAATTATATTTTTTAATATCATGGAATTTACCGTTAACGTTTTGCGTTTATAGAAATTTGAAAAAGCTTGCGGTTTCAGAAATATAAGGTGTCGAAAATGCAAATTTTACAAATTTCAAGAGGCCATAACTTGAGAGGCGGTGGAGATAGAAAAAAATTTTCTTCTAGCGAAATGAACTACATGTTAATGTCTAAAAGCCCCTAAAATTTCAAGCTTCTACAGGCTGGGGTCTAGAAGAAAAACGGCATCAAAAATTTGGTAAAAAAGGACTGTAGATAACGGTAAATTTGAATGGCCATTTTGTTTTTCTAAAAATTAACTATAGCATATCGTGTTAGGGGAAGCAAGCCACAGCCTTTCTGCGTTTGCAAAATTTCAAAAATGCCTATGGTTTCATTGCAACAAATAGTTAAAATAGGCCATTTTTAGTGCTTTGGCGGGGTATAACTTCTAGAGGGGGGGAGATAGGTAAAAATTTTGTTCTACAAAAAGAGGTTTCTAGTAAAGATCTATGTACGTATTAAATTTCAGCTTTCTATCTTTAAAAATGTAGAAGTTTTGTAAACAGACACACGGACGGACGGACGGACGGACGGACGGACGGACGGACGGACAGAGTGAAACTAATAAGCACTTTTTTTCAAAAAATTTTTGGAAAAGTGCTAAAAACAAAACCATACCTGAAATAATAAATAATCATTTTTAAACCTGAATAAAAAGTATTGTGTGAATTTAAAAGTATCATACTTAAATTCTTAACAAAAAAAGATTTTTTGGCAAAAAATCTCATACCACTTAAAATAAAATGGTGTTATTGAATCAAGAATTTTATGGCCATATAATCATATATAGCTTTTGAAAACTAAAATGCATATATATTCGATCACTCTAAAGACGCAATAGATCAAATTGAGATCTCAGCACAAAAATGGGGTTCGAACCAAATTTATAAGTTTTTGCAGTTCGTTCACAAATTGTTTCTTATTATCCTCTTAATGACCGTTTGAAAGTGAACAGTTAATAAAATTGACAAGCAAAAAATCAAGATTCGCATCCTCTGGTTCTTATTTTGTCACAAAAGAACGAGTTCTTAATGAATGATTGTGCATAGTCTAAACCATACAATTTAGACGAGAAAAGTTTTGCCGCAAACAACTTACAATTTTCCAGCAAAATAAATGCAAATGAAAACATTTTTTAAATGACTCATCCAATTCTTTTATTGTTTTTACACAACTAGCTACAAAATATATCTACGAATTTATTGAGTATCGCAACCATATTAGATATGTAAATGGTATAGATAATTTAAACTACATTCTAAAATGAAATAAAAAGAAAATAAAAAAAAATTTTTATTTTACCCCTAAAAGTATGCAACCAAGTATAAAAAACAATTACCACTAAAACAACATTGGCATCATGCATTAAAGCAAGAAGTATTTGACATTTTACGTCGTTCGTTTGCCAAAATCTTATTGATTTTTAATTCCAAAATGAAGTTTTTTTTTTCCTATACTTTTTTTTTGTGCTCTATTTTATCCCATTTCAGTATTATATACATATATTCTTCCTTATTTTTACTAATGTGCAAAAAATGAAAAAAGGACAAAAGAAAAACATGAAAAGAAAAGAAAAAAACAAATTATAAGAGAAAAAAAAATTAAGACTTTTTTAATTTTTGGTTGTGTTTAATGATAATGCCATGTTCTTCTTTCATTACCCCCATTATTTCCGACATACATACTACAAAATATCCAAGTTTACAACGTATAGTATTGATAATTTTAACTACACTATTTTTTCAGATACATATTGTATATATATATTTACCTAAAATACATAAACATATTAACATACACAGAGTGTTCTTTAGTGTAAATTTCTAGGTCATACAACTTAAATCTATGAGTAAAAGTAGAATTTAAACGTCAAACATTGGTCATGCATTTCAATTTCAAACAAACATACTCCAAATTTGAATTATTCAATTCATAAGTTTAAATTTTGTAAGCTTCAACACCAAATGAGAAAAGTACGTGGAAAAATTTGAAATTTTGAAATTAATACCTGTGAATTTTATTTATAAAATTGTGATTTTGATCACTTGAAAATCTTTTCCTCAAACAGTAGTTCTTTTAACATTTTTGTGACCAGGAATTCTCCATGAAAACTTCTTTGACAATTCTTTTCATCTAACTTTTACCCAAAACTTTTGAAATAAAATCTTCAATTCTAAAAGTAATTCTCTAAGAATAGAAAAAAGAATTTAGTGAAGATTGTTGTTTTATGTTAGATAGAGAATTTCGCACCTAACAGAAATTCAAAATTTGGATAACACCCTTTTGGATTCTAACATTAAATAATTTACTGAACACCTGGTATAACACAATTTTAATGCATTCTATTTGACGTCAATATACAATAAAGAACCAGAAACAAAAAAAAAAAAAACAAATAAACTTAAAATTTAGGTCCTACCAAATCCTATTCAATTCTTTTTTAAAAAGTTTTGTAATTTTTTTTTTCATCTCTACTTTTCAATATAACAAAGCATAATGAAAGAAACCTGGTCTGAAAATATTACACTTATTGTTTTTTTTTTTTAACAAAATTTTACAATAATTTTTAATTTAAATTCTTTTTTTTTTATATTTTTGAATTTTTAAAATTGCTGCATTTAATAAGTAAAACATAATTTCAATTACAAATAATTTTAAGAAGTCTTCGAAAAATATTAAGAATTGAATGAGAATAAAAATTATTTTCCTTCATTATACCTAAATGTAGGCGAACATAAGAGTATAACAGAATTGAGGACACATTAGTAAATTTTTTGTTTTTTCATAATATGAGAATAAAAAATTCTTTCAACTCGATGAAAATAATATAACAATATTAATCATTCACAATAGACAATAATACTCTCTTGAATAGATTGAAGGTATTTAATAAATTGACGGTACCTAAACAACCTACTTATAGGGATTTTTAGAAATAAATACAATAAACTTTCTAAATTTTTCTATGGGGCTAAAAAACATCTTATATTAAAATAATAATAAACTGATACTAATATTGTCTTCTCTTTATATTAATGAAAAAATTTTCACTACATTTTTTTATACAATCTTATTAAACTAAATAAATCAAACTGAGTATAGTTTGGGAAACACTAAAGCAAAAGACAGAACAAGGGAACTCAAGGTAGATTCTTATAAAAAAATGATACAGTCGTGGATCTATTAGGAACTAATTCAAGTCGTATGAATACCCTTTGAGGTACGATAAAAAAGAACATGGCAGAAGTGTAGGGCAACCCTCCATGACTTTCTGTATGAAGAGTATAGGGCAACAATCCATGAAGAAAATAGAGCAACCCCTCATGACTCTCTTCAAGAAATATAGGGCAATCCTTTATAAATTTCTATATCAATGTCCTATCATAACTAGAATATCACGAAGAATATGTATGAACGCTTCCTTTTACGAACTTAAAACCTATAGTTGGAGAGTAAAATTAACGACTTGGTTTTATACCTTTATTTGACCAAATATGCATCTATAAACTGTAGGTAATAAATACTATTATATCTACCATAATATAATTAAAAATTTACATATCACTAAACATTGGTAACACTTATATATTAAATTTTCCTTGTTTTGTTGAATTTAATAGTTTAAGATTTCTCACAAAACTTAATTATTTAAAAGAAATTATCGTTAGTTTCGGTAGCCTATTTTCCATATTTTTGACATATTTATTAATAAAGTAAAATTTTTTATGTACGAGTATCACTTAACCAAATAATATTGGCAATGATTTAAAGTACAAAAACAAAGCAATTGAAAAAGTATCTACATATAAATCAGGAGTAGCTTTAAACGAAGATTTAAGTTGGAGTCCACAAATCAATGAAATACTGCCGAAAATTCGAAGAACAGTAGGGCTACTCAAAAAATTAGAAGCAAGACTACCAACCAACATCAAAAGTTCAGTTTATTATAGTTTAATTCACAACGTAATTTTGTACGTTATCGGAGTTTGGGTAATATCTTCAACAAGAATATTAGGATTCTCCAGAGACTCGAAAACAAAGCTATTAACAATTTATTTGCATTACCCATGAGAACCTCAACATGCCTTATACACAAAAAGCATGAAATTCTTGAAATAGAAAACTTGATTCGGTATTCTCAAACTC